TTTATTTTTAAAATATAACTTTTTACTCAATTCTTTCAAATGAGTTAAAGTATTAGAGTATGATTTATAGTACCTTTTTTGATCTTCATTGCCTTTGATAAAATGATGATAATAAAGATATTGTTTTCTTTTTATTGACTTTAATATCGCAGGAGTAATCCAAGGTTTCGTAGAAAGTTTAAATTCTTTCCTTGAGACATTTTGTATAGGTGCATGTTTATTTACTGTTGATGTAAATATGGAAAAGAAATTGGAAAATGGATTGTTAACATTTCTATTATGGTTAGTGTCACTGATAGATGTTTCTAGGTCTTGTAAAAAAATATCATTATTGAAGTTTTTGAAGTTTCTTTTGTTCATATTCCGTTTTGTTGCCGATTTTATTTTATGCAAGATTAGAAAAACAGGAAAATGATCGGAAATTTCAGTCAGGCAGATTCCGGATGTAATAGGTTTGTTTAAAACATTGGTATAAATATGGTCAATTAGAGTTTCAGTGTAGTTTGTGACTCTAGTAGGCTGTGTAATAACAGGAAAACAAGAGTTAGAGTATATCATATCAAGGTAATCAGAAGTAAGTTGGTGTGTTTCACATTTTATGAGATCAATATTTATATCCCCAATAATGATTAATTGCTTATTTTCATTCAAACTATGCTCCAATTTATCTGATAAAGCATCTTTAAATGCAGAAATATTAGAGTGTGGGTGTCTATAAATTATGCCTATAATAATATTTTTCTCATCTTTAGGTGTATGAATTTCAACCCATAAATTCTCACAACCATCAACCAGTAACTTAATATCTTGTCTTAAGTGAAATTCTAAGCTATTGTGAATATACAGACCCACATCTCCTGCTTGTGTGGGAGAATCATGTCTTAAAAAACTGTAATTAATCAAATCAATATTGGAAGATGAGTTTTCATTTAGTCTGGTTTCACTTATTCCAATTATAGAGATTTGGTTTTCCAATGAAATCAGAATATCATTAAGTTTACTAAATTGCTTTTGGAGGCTTCTTACATTACAATGAAAAATTGAAAATAAATCATGATTATTATTATATGTTGGGGAATATGAATGTAAGTTAGGGGGAGTATTAAATAAGTTTTTACATTCTTCTATACTATAGTAATTTGACGAAAATGAAGGAATAATATTATCAGGGTCTTGATAATTAGAATTAATAGATTTGTTTAGATAGCTATTAGCAATATTCGGATTAGGATACATTATTAAGCTGTATGCAAAAATAATAGGATTAGTGTAAGATTATACAGATTAAACTTATCTTGCTGTGAAGAATTGGTCTTTGAATCGTACAAATTCAGACAAAGTAGAGAACGAAACTACTTTTGAATGAACATCATTATCCTGTTTCATATACGTTTTCCCATTCTTTGTCCATACAAACTGAAACTTTTGTTCCTTCTGGAATTCCTTTGTTTTTCTGAATATTCCTTTAGCCTTTGTTGTTAGACTTTCATTTATGTAAAATTTATTGTTCTGTTGGGAAAATCCAAGGTCAGTGGCATTAAATCTGGTTATATTTCTTCGTGCCTTGTGTAAACCATCCCGCACACTTCTTCTTGTAAATTTACTGAAGCGTGTTTCCCGGTTTCATGTACGGTTTAAATGAGGAAGTTCTTAGATCAAATGTGGCTTCTAGGTAATTGACACATTTTTTGTTAGCTTCGATTGTAATCTTTAAATTATGTTCATTAAAAGTTCTGCAAATTTGCTTCTTGATATTCTCTATTGCTCTCGGTTGTTTGTCAAACGCTGCAAGGCCATCATCTGTGTAAAGACCAATATCATTTCGATATTCTGGAGGAAGTATGGATAGAAGGAATAAATCAACTAGCTCGCATGTTCCTGCACCATCAAAACCGCCCATCGATACATCAAAGAGGCTACCTGTCTCTTTCTTGCGCCAAGTTTGATTTCTGCTGAGGAAACTGATTTCTTCGCCTGCATATGTGTATATATTATGTGCATATATTCGCCTGCATATCGCCTGCATATGTGTATATATTATGTGCATATATTCGCCTGCATATATATATATATATATATATATATATATATATATATATATATATATATATATATATATATATATATATATATATATATATATTTATTATTGAAAATCACTCACAGTTGTATACGCGGTCTATAGTCTCTCTCACAGTCACTCCATTCCTATCTTTTAACTCCTCTTCATAATAATATAAATGTGCCAATCACGCAATGTTCGTCCCTAATTAAAGTAATAATTAATCCTGCTATTAAATCACAAATATTAAGATATATATGGACAGTCTCCGACACACTCCCCCATGCAAGTTAGGAGCTAAATTGTATGTTCGTTAAAGAGACTGCGCTTTTAAACTACGTGTTCGTGGAAAACAAAACTTGAAAATGAATCTAGTGTTAATGTGTAAATATTATATAGTGTTCACATATCTTCTTCTTGATCTTCTGCTATGGCGGTTATTTTTGCTCGTGCATCTGCTGCGGCAGCTCTTTTCGGTACAAACGCTCGGGCTCCGGGGTTCAGTTGGACTCTGCCTTCGTTCGCGTTCCTTTTTGTGTCGCACTGGAGTTCTAGGGGATAGAGATGCTGAACGGGTCTTTCTATCTGGCCATTTTTCGTCCTGAGCTGAACAGCTCGTGTTCGACCATCTGGTCCTGGGAATAACTTCTCCACTATGACTAGTGGCTATTTCCCTCGATTCTTATCGTCTGTCTTTACGATCACTGCGTCCCCTTCTTTAATTTTATATTTCTGAGTCTTATGGACGAGGCTGTGATGTTCACTCAGCGCGGTCATGTACTCGTGTCGCCATCTCTTCCACAAGCTATTCTTGCACGTTGTTAGATACTTCGCTCGTTTCCATAGGTCTTGGTCTTCGATCCGCCATGGTTCAATTTCGGGTAATTCATTAGCTCGTTGAAATAGAAATGTGGAAGGGGTTAGGGTTGGAAGTTCTACGTCATCTTCCATGTAGCTTAGTGGACGTCGATTCACTTGGATTTCTACATCTAGCAGTACGTCGTTCAATTCCGACCACGTCAGCTTCGCCCCACCGATCACTTTGTACATAGCATTCTTTACCACTCCGATCAATCGCTCGAACTGACCACCCCACCGCGGGGCTCTGCTCAGGTTGAATTTCCACGACACGTCGTATTGTTGCAGAAGGCCTTGCACACGTTCGTCGTTCCTGATTAGCTTCAACCACTTGGAGGCCTTGACGAACGTAGCCCCATTGTCATAGTAGATGATTCTCGGACGCCCGCGTCGTGCGAACAATCGTTTCAGACACGGGATAAATGATGTCGTTTCTAGGTTCTTTATCAGTTCGAGATGGACTGCCCTCGACAAACTACACGAGAATATGACTAAGTAGCTCTTCCTTTCGCGTTTGTTGGAGCACTTATAGCGTATAGGGCCCGCGAAGTCCGTACCTATCACTTCGAACGCTACCCCACCAGTGGTACGATCTTTAGGCAGCTTTCCTGGACTTGGTTTTACGATCGGCGTCGCTGTAAATCGCTTACAGCCGTAGCACTTTGCACGAACAGCTTTCACTAGTCGTCTTAACGTCGGGACCCAATAGATCTCACGCACTGCTGCCATCGTTAACAGCACATCACCGTGTAGTTTTTCCACGTGGTATCTCTGCACGAGTTTTTTAGTAAACTCAGAGTCGGCTGGGAGGTATATAGGATAATGTCCTTCGATTCTTCCGCGGCATTCGAGAATCCCGTGTTGATTCATGACGAGGTTAAGGGTTCGTATGCTCGAAGTGGGGTCTTAGGGAATCTTTCGCTTGCTCTCGTTTTGTCCACCAGTCTCGAACTTCTCTTACGTCATCGGACGTCAGGGGCCCTCTACGATGACGGTTTGTCGTAAAGCGGCGTACCCAGGCTAGAATTAGGAGTGCGCGAAGCAGATCGTGACGTTGGAGGAGGTTCTCGAAGGGGTCGTTCTCAGAATCTTTATCTCGTTCTTGTTCTTGTTCTGGTCCTGCATAGAGGCAATCGTTCAGGGATGGAGCTTCGGGTGATTCTCGGGCCGAGGCGTCATATACAATCCTCATTTTTGTCGTCTGGGCTGATTCTCTGACTACGTATCTGTGTGGAATGTAGAATTCCTTTGCGTTACTTCCACTCACAGTGGGGGGTGGAACTAGGTCACTTCCGGTCACCACGGGAGGTGGGACAGAGTCGCTTCCGGTCACCACGGGAGGTGGAATAGGGTCACTTCCGGTCACCACGGGAGGTGGAATAGTGTCACTTCCGGTCACCACGGGAGGTGGAATAGGGTTGCTTCCGGTCACCACGGGAGGTGGAATGGAGTCACTTCCGGTCACCACGGGGGGTGGAACTCTTTCGATGACCCCCTCAGCGAGTTGTTCTTGTATAATGCCGTCGTACTTCTCCATCAAGTTTTCGCGTTGAAGTCTTTTAGTCAAACCTCCGAGTCGCTTCAGGCTACCACGTTCATTGTTTGGAAGATAGGCATGGTTTGGTTTCCAAGGTAACGCGGTCTCGTACCATTCCTCGGGAGATCGGGTCAACTGTTCCTTAAGCTCGTTAAATACCACCGTCTGGTCATGTTGGGGGGTATCTTCGAGCCCTAAAACGTCCAGTCTACACAATTCCTCGTACTCGGCGTGGGAGGTCTGGGTCATCAACATCACGTTGCTTTCGAACTCGTACCCAGGGCCCATTAGAAACCAACCAAACTTGGTCAACTCAGCGATAGGGGCTTTCACGTCTCCTATTCTCGGTCTTGTTTGCGTTTTAATCTTCGCATACTCCCCGCTCCCCAAAATGACATGGACAGGCAGGGTATCTTTGACGTCATCGTCGTTCATTGTCACGCCCGTTAAGTGGGGGTGTTGATTGATTAATTTGGGGTATTTGGGATTGTCGATCAACAAAAGTTCACTCTTGTTTACCTTTGTAGCTCTTACGGGAAGACTAAACGAGCCGTCTAGCGAGTCAAATTTCATATCGTAAATCTCGAGTTTGGACGTCTTAGAGGCCATTAACATGTCCATGTTTTTAATCTGGGATTGTGATGGTTTCAGTTTGAGTAAGTCTATCAGTTTTGCTGACACGTAGGAGCTCCGAGCTCCCGAATCAATCAGCGCTCTACATCGAATTCCATTGACTTCTACGACGACTACTGGAAACACCGCTTCGCTTTTCTGGCATGTAGTCATGGCAACGTTTGAATTTTGGCCAGAAATTTGACCACCGGCCTTGTTGTCGTGAGAATCACAAATAGACGTGTGATGTCTCTTTTCGCACTTCCTACAAGTGGCTTTACTCGGACACTCAGAGGCTTTATGATTGCCCACGGCGAAATTAAAACATAATCGTTTCTTGGCTAGTATCTGTTTACGGGCTGACGTCAGAGTTACTTTTGCGCAATCGTTTGTTTTGTGCTCGCCGCTATCGCAATAAACGCAATTACGTGGATTTAATCTCTGACGAGAGACATGAAACAGCTTGTCTCTTCTCTTGCTGCTAAACGAGTCGCCGTTTAGTTCGGATGGTTTGTCGATTGAATTTCTTCGACACCACTGGTTGAGCGCTTCAACTAGTTCTCCCATTCAGGGTCCGTTCACACCAAATCTCCACGAATGCTAGGCAGTTTATCAAGAGTAATTGGCACGGCGCCATTGACCCCGTCAAGCATGTCCAATGTCTCTAAAGCTTGAACGCAGTACGACAATTTGTCGCTAAACTCATGAATCTTTTTCTGATTGGCCGTTTGTATTGTGGGCAACCCAAGTATCTCGCACGTGTAACCTTTTACTATCTCTGATTCTTTCCCAAACTTATCTTTGAGGATGCTTATCGCTCGATTGTACCCTTCGCTGTGAAAGGGCAATGCTTCGATTGTTTGTCGTACTTTAGGCTCTAACAACTCGCGTAGGTAAGAAAACTTAGTCACCGGGGCAATTGCGGATTGATCAATGTTCTCTGAGAATTGTCCCCAAAACCTTGGCCAATCCATAGGAGAACCATTAAATTTCGAAATCACCACCTTCGGTAATTTCGCTTGCATTCCAATCATAGTTTTACTGGTCTGTTTTTAAGGATATGTTCATCTTGTAACTTTAATTTACTTTCATGCAGTTTTACCTCAAACTTGATCTTCTCGTCGTTCTCCATCTCCTCTAGTTTCCTCTTGTTTTCCGCCAACCATTCCTTCGTCAGTCTTACATGACTATCTGCCTCGCTGATTTTGGTATCAATCTCTTCGCTCCACTCGGTAGTATCCTCTTTTCTGCCCAGTTTTTCAGCTTCAACCGTAAGCCTTAGTTTGTCCACTTCGCCAATAACAGTTCCAAGTGTTCCCTGATGTCGAGCAATAGGCTCTTCTTCGGATTTTGCAAGAATTCCGTCGGTGCGCTTCGTCGTTAGTTGCAATTGAACTAATTTTGTTTCCAGCGCGGTGCTGACGTTTGTTTCACTCATTTTACGATCCCGTCGGAGGTGCCAGGTTTAGTAAATTGACCCTTACTAAAAGGTATTGAACAATCAAACTCTCGACGAAGCAAATTCGATTTTATAAAATTATATTATTGAAAATCACTCACAGTTGTATACGCGGTCTAGTCTCTGGACTTAGTCCAGACTAGCTAACTACAAATCACACATTAAGCATAAGCGCCGGACATGTAGTATAACAAATCATTTTATTGATGTGCATGAGGCGGATCATTCGAGCTTAAAATTTATGCTTATTGACCAACACCATAGTGAAGTACTTAAGAGTGAAAACTTTTGGATAGGAATGTTGTTGACCAACCGGAAAGGCCTTAATGGTAGTCATGATTTCGCCCAACAATAGTAATTTATTCATAATTT